CTTGTGACCTTGAGATCCTAAAAGACTGGGCCAGTTGTCCCATAGAGCGTCCCTTGGTCTGGGTTTGTCTGTCTACTACATTGTGCGGTGTTTGGCTCAGTCCCCGCCCTATCGTTCAGTGAACCGGGACTCAATCTAGAGTCCAGATTGGAATCAGATCAGAGATTTTGCCGGAACTGAACTGTCCTGGGAGGTGGGTGATGTCATGTGACAGGCAGAGGGTGGTCACAGCATGAGGGGCTTTGGTTTGTCCCTCTGTTGTGAAGTCACACACACACACACACACACACACACACACACACACACACCCTTTGGCCTGAAAGGGATCTGACTGGTGGTACTGGATGCACTTCTCATCTTGTACCTTTTTGGCTTTTCCAACCATGTATTTATATTTTTTCTCTTTTAATGTTACCTGAGCTGATCTGAACTTACTGTGTCATAATTTACCTCCTTTGACTGAAAGCAGTCTTTCCTGCCCCTCCCTGTGAGGAGGTAAGATGAAGATCCTGGAGGGTCTTCTGTGGGAACAGGCTTCGGAGCCTCAGCTCTGGCCAGGCTGCTGGGTGGGGGTGGCCGAGGTTTCATTGCTGGCTCAGGAAGTGGCCCATGGAACCACAGGAAGATGTCACCACATTGAGAAAGATCCAGTAAGCACTTTGCTGCAGTTTAGTAATGAGGAAGGAACTTAGCTGGCCGGGGAACTGGTCACTGGAGGGCGGAAGCTGGCCCTGGGGTTCAATATCCACTCCCTAGCTCCTCCCTCAAAGGACCGTGGCCCCAGTGTCGTTCTCATGGAGGCCTGGGAAGGGCCAGGGTACAACAGGATACGTATTTATGGCTTCTGCTGTGTGAGGTGGAGACTGGGAGTGCCAGCCAGCTCTAGCCCCTAGGTCGTCCGGTGGTCATGGAATGGAACAGAGAGCAGTGACCTGGGGAAAGGCACATTTTCCGGGGAGAGCCAGCCGTGTGTTGGACACCCCTGACCTCTCCCACAGACCCCATTTGTCTCCATTTCACAGATGTGGATACAAAAGCCCGGAGAAGTCAGGCTATTTGCGCGTGGTCTCCCTGATAGTAAGTGGCGGGGACGGGATTTGAACCCTGGCATGCTTGTCCACCAACAGGCCCAGGATTGTAAATGGTGGCAGCAGTGTTTAGAACCAGATGGGGTCTTCTCGGGCCCCCGAGGTGTCCGCTGTGCCTTGTGCGCCCAGCATCGATTTGCTGGGGACCCGTGGAGACCAGGCGCTCACCTTGTGTGGGGCTCACGGACCAGAGAGCTTTAACAGAAGTCACACTGCTCACCACGCAGAGCCCTTTGCCCGTCAGGCTATGTCCCACAGTGTCTGTTCCCTTTAATCGATGTGATTGCAGACGCTGCATAAGTGCTTTCTAGGAAAATAGCGAAACAGCCTGAGAAGTGATTTCCTGTTTTCCTCTTACCTTGACTGCTTCGATTTCTTCTTTCACAATGGCCGGAGATTGGCCAACTGAAGCATCTTTGTTAGAAAATCTTTCAGCCTTTGCTTTGGGAGCACATTTGGGGAACAGGGTCCTTCCTGAAGCCTGGAGTGTGGGCATGCCCACTCAGCCTGGCACTCCCCGGGTGGGGGGGAGGGTGGTGGTATGAATGCCAGACTCCCTCATCTCCCTGCAGGGGGAGGTGTTTCTGGATGCACTGGTCTTCCTCTTAGCCTGTATTTGGAGGGGAAATTTGGCTTTTATAGGCTTCCTCTTCAGCCTTTCCCCTGGGCTTTCTCAGCCAGGTTAACAGGCCAAAAGGGTCAAAATTGAGGCCTAGCTGATGTTTCCAGTTCTCGGCCACAGCAAGCGAGGACTTTTGAGTTCCTCCAGGTGGGATCCGTATGCGAAAAGACGTCTTAGTGGTAGGAAAAGGGTGATGAATCATTTGCTGCTTCGCTGGTGATTAGCCTACACTAACGGTTCCTAGTCTTCCATCCAGAAGGTGGCAGGTGGGAAAGCTCTCTCTCGGGCACTTGGCGTTTTCCAGGGGTCCCTGTGAAACCTGGGGACCTGCAGCCCCTCCGAGCTGGGCCAGGCTCAGGTGGTCACAAGGGTGCGTTCAGGCCCGTCTCACAAGCCCATCTGTGTTCACTGTCATATACTCAGGCACAGGGGGCCCTTTGTGGGGCCGAGCTGCTGTCACGAAGTCAAGAATGTCTCCGCTGGAGTCGTCCCTCGCAGCGGAGACCGCTGTTTGCAACTCCCTGATAGTTGGGGCCGGTGGCTGTGAATTCTGCCATCTGCGGAACTGAGAGCTGTACATCCGTTGACAGAAACCACAGCATTTAGGGGAATACCCTTTGTCTTTAATTTCCACATTGATGTGGTAAGCTCTTTCCGTATGTGCTGGCTGTGCATTATCCGACCAGTGTCAGTTATGGAGACGGGGACACGTACATTTGCATCCGAAGCCAGTCTGGTCTTGCAGATGTGCCGAAAGGCTCATAGGACAAGGGAGACTCCTTTCTCTAGAAGGTCCCTGTTCAGAGCCCCGTCGCATTCATCCCTAGCCAGGCTGAATCAGGCCTTGTGGCGGGGCCGCCAAGTGGCAGCTTTCCCTGCCAGGAGGAGCCAAGATGGGACTCCTTTTTCAGAGCCCTTTCTCGGGGTGTGGGATGGGATATAGGTCTTCTTTATGTGCCCCCCATTTCCGTGTGGTAGTGAATGAAGGGTGCCGAATGTGCTGTGTTCGTTATAAACAGAGGGTTCTGTGAAGCGAGCTTCTGAGATTATTGGGAAGGCGGCTGGGAACAGGCAGCCCGGGTGGCCAGGGATCTGTGTGGGAACCACAGGCAGCTGAGAAGAGGCCTCCAGAACTGTTCCCTGAATCTGTGCGGCTTCTCTAGTCTCCAGCAAATCTGGGTGGTGACTCCTTTGCTTCTGGAGTACAAGAAAGCTCAGATAGACCTAAGCACTGTTACCGGCATAGGGGAGGCTTGGGCACAGACCCGGCAACAACAAAAAATGTACTTTTGTCTTGGTACGTGGTTAACGAATCCGATTATTAAGGGGGACTCGACATTTTCTTACCATCTAGCTGTATTTTTAAAACAAATACTTTGGAAAAGGTAAATGTGCTATAACTAGGCTGGGATTCAGCTTGACCAACTGACCGACCTTCCTTCCTTCCTCTTCTTTTTCTTTCTTTCTTCCTTCCTTCCTTTCTTTTTTCTCTTTTTCTTTCTCTTTCTTTTCCTTACTTCCTTTGGTCTTTGTCTTGTTCATGTAGCTTAGAGTAGATGTGAGGCAATTGGTTGCTGGCTTTTTTTTTTTTCCTAATTCTTTGAGATGACAGTAAATCATAGCAAATACACTGTGCTTCATGACACAGGACTGTTACAAATGAACTCTTAACAGCTGTGTGTTTGTCAAAAACATTGTGTGACAAAGCATTGCCTTTTAGTCTCTCCTGCCCTGCCCCGCCCTCGGCCCCTTGCAGCTTTGCCTGGTTCTCCTGTTACCCTAACTGTGTCTAGTCCTCTTAACCATGTTTTGGTTAAGAGCCTAGCCAACTAGAAATCTCATCTTTCAGGAATCATTCCTGACCTTATTTACTTTCTCCCAAAGAGGCAATCCTAAGAAGCCAAGTTCAGATTGGAGTTTCAGGCGGGAACAGCATTTGGGTTGGTGAGGCTTGATGGTTGGGTTTGCTGAAATGGACAAAATGAAAGAAGGAAGAAAACTGATACACAATTAGAGCATTTTCGAACAACTACCCATCCACCATGAAATTGAATTCTCCATCTGTCTGTCTGTCCATCCATCCATCTGTGCATGCTTCCAGGTGTCTATCCAGTGGGTATTTGCCATCCATTCTGCCAAACTTTGAGGATTGATGTAATGGTGAGAAGACAGGCGTGGACCCTCCTCAAGGAGCGTACCTTCTGGCATGATCTACCAAACTGCAGGATAGGGGGGAGTGCTATGGCGGGGTGGGGTTGCTGACTCAGCCCCAGCGAGGAGGGCAGTCAAGCAGGACCAGGGCAGGGGAGCTGAGCTCTGAGAACCAAGGAGTTGGCTGGCTGAGCTGAGGGAATGGCTTTGCAGGGAGGCCCAGAGGGAGGACGGAGTGGGGAACCATCGAAGGCAGTGGGGCCTGGCTTTGAGAATCTCAGAAAGCTGTGGACCCTCTCCTGGGGTGGAGGCAGAGGTGGCCCCATGCTCCCAAAGTTTTATGTCTGGTTTCTGGCGACACCCACACTCCCTGATGCGCAGAACCTCCCGATGGCCTTGTAAGTGCCCACATTTTCCGTCCGGGGAGGCCCAGCCGTCCGTAAGTGTGAACGCGTAGAGAAGCCTTTCCTGGAGTTTTGTTTTATCAGCCAGGAGCCCGCATCCCATCCTGTCGGTAAAACTGTCTTTCCAGAAGCTGCTTACAAGTGTTGGTACTAGCTAACTGCTGACAGCAAGAAAAAAAAAGTTTTTCCTAAGTCAATGCACAGTTTTACGTAGAAAACAAAGATTTTCGGGGTTGCTGCAGAACCATTTGGGCTTCGCTTTCCATGATCTTTACCACCATGCGATACAAAGTGAGGTTCTGAAATGCTGGCGGGTGTCTCGAGTGAAGTTCTTGGTCCACAGGTGCCCTGTGCCTTTGTGAGTGACGCTCTTTGATCCAGCTCTTCAGGAGCAATACTTTTGATTTTGTAAAAAAATACACATATATATTAGTTTCTCTCTTTGAAGCAGTACCGCTCTGAAGCGAACACGGAGGTTCTAATCCTCGTGAGGCCGGGCCTATGGCCTTGCCCCCGAAGGCCTCTTGCCTTGAGCGTGGCCGGCCACATGGCTTACGTCCCTGAGAATCCGAGTTTGGCGTTACTGATTTTAACCTGTTCGCAGGCCTCTCCTGTACGGCGCCCACGTTGTCGGGCTTTGCAGGTGTTGAGATGGGGACAAGGTGTGGTCTGACCGGGTAACCATGAGCGTGAGCCTGTCCTGTGCATGCGGTGACTCTGCCTTTCCCCCCGCAGCCACTTCCCCGAGGGTGTCCTCCGAGCTGGAACAGGCCCGGCCGCAGACGAGCGGAGAGGAAGAGCTGCAGCTTCAGTTGGCACTTGCCATGAGCCGAGAGGTAGCTGAGCAGGTTGGTGCCAGGCAGGTGTGATTGCTCGCTGGGGGCTGGGGACGGGGGGAAGGGCGGGGGGGGGGGAGCGTGGGTCACAGCGGGGATGGTGACACTGGCCTCAGTGTTTCCGATGTGTTTCCCGAGATGGGACTTGGCGTTGCCACAACAGTGTTCTTGGCCCCCCCTGCCCCGGGTCAGGGAGGGGGCCCTACGCAGTTCCATTTAGGGAAGCTTTTTGTGGGCCAGTGGATGAACTGGTCAGAGTGCCCCCCAGAAACACTTCTGTTGACAACAGCCGCTTGTCATGGTCCCTTCGAACGAGCCTGGGTGTCCACAGCCCCCTCCGTGCAAGGCGTGTGGGCTCAGCCCCGGGGGAAGACAGTTTGGTAAGATGGCTCAGGTGCATCTGAATGCTGAAAAACAAGGCTAGGAGGGAAAGCTGCAGGTAATAAGAGCCCTTACTATGTTTCGGTGACGGAAGTGTGTGTAGTTTTAACTTGTTTTCAGTTCCTGTTTTTCTCTACTAATCACACATTACTTTAACATGGACAAGGAGGGAAAGGCGTGTTGGAAATGACCTTTCAAAGCTGTGTCCCTTTGGCCCCGGCCATCAGGTCTGTACCTGCTGACCTTGGGTTAGGGAGGGTAGACGGAGTCAGGTAGCGCGAGGCGCTAGAAGTGATGTGCAGAGACAAGAGATTAGGGGTGGTTCGACAGAAGTGCAGAGGCGGCTGTCCTGGCATGATTGGTGTCGCTGTAACTGGAGACCTCCTAAAGCTCGACCGCGGTGGACAGCTTCAGTTACAGCCCCCCTGTTCCCAGTAGGAGAACCACAGCGATTAGATCCGTCCCTGTGGGTGCCTGGCTCTGTCACGGACAGCCCGGGGAGAAGGGGCAGGAATGCAGGGACAGATGGACAGTCGGAGCCCGTTTCCGCTCATAACTCATCTCTGTGATTCATCATATTTATAATAAAATACAAGGAACTTATTTCTATTTTGTGATGCTGTAAAGCTAGGACAGCCCAGTCTCCTGCATGTGGTAACTTTGCCTTAAATAAATATAAATTAGAGGGGCGCCTGGGTGGCTCAGTTGGTTAAGCGACTGCCTTCGGCTCAGGTCATGATCCTGGAGTCCCGGGATGGAGTCCCGCATCGGGCTCCCTGCTCGGCAGGGAGTCTGCTTCTCCCTCTGACCCTCCTCCCTCTCATGCTCTCTGTCTCTCATTCTCTCTCTCTCAAATAAATAAATAAAATCTTTAAAAAAAAAAATTAAAAAAAAAATATAAATTAGATACAGGTGACCCTTGAACAACATGAGTTTTGGGCTGTGCGGCTCCACGTAAGTGTGGATTCTTGTCAATAAATAAGGTGCTGTAAATCCATTGCCCCTTTCTTAATTTATTAGTAACATTTTCTTCTCTCTAGCTTATTTTATTATAAGAACACAGCATAATACACAGAATATGCCTTAAGCGATTTACTTAGGTTCCAGTCAACAGTTGGCTCTTAGTAGTTAAATTTTTGAGGAGTCAAATTTATATGTGGATTTTGGGGGGGTTGGTGCCCTTAACGCGCGTGTTGATGGAGGGTCAACTGTATAGTGAATCATTTCTGTTTGAAATCCTCGAAATAAACATGCAGTGATAGGTGATTTTCACCCTCTTCCTGATTCCTTTCTGGGCTCTCAGGCTTTTGTATTTTACAAGGAGACGTGTTGCTTCTATAATTAGAATTACAAAGCCATTTTCATTGTAAGATAAAAGCATTGTAGAATACGTGTTCCCCTTCCCCGACTTGGCCGTGCCTGTGCCTCCCCCCGCCCCCCGGTGGGACCCCAAAACCAGGGAACCCACACAAGGCAGCAGGGAGGGGCAGATGCGAGCCCTCTGGGCTACACTCGCAGGATAGAAGAGTAACTATTTTACGAGTTGTTCTCCCATCTTCCTTTGCGATAATGTGTACTCTGATTTGCCTGTCCTGTTCCTGGCGCGTTGCTTTGTTCTGCACAATGATGTCATTACAGTCCCATTGTCCTCTTCAGGAAGAACGCCTCAGGCGGGGTGACGACCTCAGATTACAGATGGCCCTAGAAGAAAGCCGAAGAGACACGGTTAAGGTTCCAAAACAGAAGGAGGTAAGCGCCTCACCGGGAAGCAGTGTTAGAGCCCGTCCCACCATGGTTGCCGAGCGTCCAAGCCTAACCCGCAGAGCACGGCGCCTTCTCCGCCTTCTCCTGTACTCCTTTGTGATGAGCACGAGTGAGGGGAGGACCTGATTGAAAACACCCCCACCTGGTGCCCTTACTCCCGAGACCAGCCTGAGAAAAGATGGGCACGGGTGAGGGGCCTCCGTGGACCAGGGCCTCAGTTTCCTCCCCTGTAAACGAGCACAGTGGTAGCCATGGGGTCAGGTGACTGTTACATGAGCCAAGTGTCCCGTGCTTTGGGACAGATTCCTGGCACGGGCTAAGGCTCAGTGCTGGGCTTCACTGCTATCATCAGCCTTACCCTGCACCAAGCTGCCCGCGTGGGGCCCTAGATGACCAGGACATGGTTCTGCTCCCAGCAAGCTCCTCCAGTCACAAGATAGGCCCCCCTCCCCCACAGGGCCCGGGGTTCCGGTGGTCTCCCATGTCACGGTGCCTCGGGATCCCTGACTGCAGCTCTGGTGGCCGTGGGAGTGGGAGGGCAGGGCAGGGCAGGCCCCGGGAGAGGGGGCCCTGGATGATGGCTGGCAGCTGGGGGGGACCGAGGTGGGTGGGTGGGGACAGCATTCTGGAGGGACGCTGCAGCCTGGGGAAAGCCTGCGTTATCCTGGAAAGCCGTGGGGGCTGTTTGCAAGTGGGTGGGGCATTGGGCCCAAAGCACACAGCTCCGTGTGGGTGGAGCCTGGGCTGGAGTGGGAAGTGGTTAGTGGGGTGGTGGGCTGGGTGGGGCCGAAGATGGGAGGAGATGGGGCAGCTCAGTTTCCTCCCGGCCCCGTCCAGAGGGCTTCTTGTCCCAGGAGGCGGGGACGGTATATACGGTATATACGGCTAACAGCTAACTCGTGGGTATTTGCTGTAACTGTAGCAAAGTAAAACCTGTCCCCTTCTCTTTGTCTCAAAAGCATGGCTCCCACCCACAGCAGACCACTCTGTTGGATTTAATGGACGCCCTCCCCAGCTCAGGCCCTGCTGCCCAGAAAGCAGAGCCCTGGGGCCGGTCAGCCTCAGCTAACCAGACAAACCCTTGGGGCGGGCCGGCGGCCGCAGCCAGCACTTCAGACCCCTGGCCACCGTTCGGTAAATACCTGCCTCATTTGTCTCCCGTGCCTGCCTGCTGGATAGGGCCGAGCTGCCTGCTCTCTCTCACCTGGTGGAGGTGGGAGTGGGGCAGGTCTTTGGTGGTGGTTGCCCAGGATTCCCCAGTCCCCGGATGTAACGTCTGGTTGGGTCCTCCTGAGGACTGTGGTACAGTGCTTTCCTGTTTTGAATGGTTTTCTGCTTTGGTAGAGGGAAAGCTGACTTCCTCTCTGCTTCCCACACGCATTAGAAATGCCTTGTCCCTCCTCTGGGACATATGTCTGGTCTCTTGGCCTCAGAATTGCACCCAGCACCCCAGGTTAAGAAACCGTAATACACAGCATGAAACCTCTTAATCAAGTTGCTGTAATTAGGCGTAGCCGGAGATTAGGATATACGTACTATGATTGCTGATGAAAGGATGCATTTACTGTAATTCTTCTTATTTGTTACTTAAAGCAACAGTAAGTCCATTTACTGGGTTAGTGGATATTTTAAAGTTCTGTTTAATGCCAAATGTAAGAATCTGTGGGAGGAAATTTGCAACATGAGTGTGGGTAGAAATCTTGGGCATAGGGGTTTCCTGATCGCTGGACACAGGGCTTGGCCTGCGGGCTTGGTGATGGCTTCCTGCTGCTCGGGAGGCTCCCTCTGGGTGCTCTGAGCCCTGCCAGCCAGGGCTGATCTGTCTGGGAACTTGCAGTTGTATATTTTATGGCAGCTTGCCTGTATCTCTTTGGGGTCTCTGTTTCCCCAACCTGGAACCATCTTTTGTATTCAGCTCGGTTCCCTGGATGTTTGCTGAAGTGTACCAAATGCCAGGCTCTGTCCTGCTATCCAGGGACCCAGACACAAACAGGTAATGGTCCTGCCTTCAAGGTCCTGGGCAGATGTGGGCAAGATGGGGGGATACCAGCGTCCTGGGATGGGGCTTAGTTCAGGAGGCTGGTGGGCATGAGGCAGGCGTCTTGGAGCAATCTGCAAGGAAGAGCAGGAGGTGACCAGGCCAAGAAGAGGCAAGGGTGTTCCTAGCAGAAGGCTGGCCTTGTGAGAGCCTGGGGGCATGCAGTGGTTTGGTGGGTGCAGAGACAGGCCATGGGGAGCAGGGACGTGGGGTCAGGGCCCTGCCCACTCAGGGCTTGGCAGCCGTGTCCAGAAGGCCGTGTCAGCCCCAGATGTCCTTTGGAGATGCAGTTGGCGTCGGGGACCTGGGCAGATCCCCAAACTCCGTTTGGCAGGCGCCCTCTGGGCCTTGGGGCAAACTGCAGGCCAAATGGCCTACAGGTCTCGCTCACTGAAAGCCAGAGTCCCATGGCAGCCAGGAGCTTGGCGGTTCACGTGGTCCATGGCCTGTGTACTATGGCCCCAGGGAGCTTGTGGGCTAAAGTCTTGCTGAGCATACATGGGGATAGTGAAGGCGGTTCTGGAAATGCCCACCTGGGCGCCTTCCAGACCGTGGCTTTTGACTTTTGTGTTAAGTCTGAAAAATAGTTGCTCTGTAATGTGATGACCACCTTGAGTTTGTGGGTAGGATGTTCTTCAGGAAAGACTCTCAATCCCGTTCAAAGTTGTGTAATGGGTCACGATGCAGACAGGACATTTTTCTAGTGGCCAGGAAAGCAAGCAGTCACCCTAGAGCCAGGTGAGTTTAAGATTATGCTGTCAGTGGCTGATGGGAGGTGGTTGGGGTAGGGCCTGGGGGGAGGTGGGAGGGAGACAGACTTTCACTGTCTCCCTTTTTTTAACTGTTTGACTTAACTTTACTAGGGGTGTGCGTTACCTGGTCAGGAGAGACCAGATTTATGAGTTTTCAGTGAACCAGGTTACTCCTCCCTTCCTTTGGCTGGTAGACAGTGCTGTGCCCTGGAGCTGGTCTTGGTGGAGCCAGACTTTAACCTCAAGGGGTGCTGGGGAGTCTCCTGGTGGGTGAAGCGGGGCCACCTCCAGCTGTTGGGGTTCTCACACACCGGCACGCAGCGGAAAGCAGGAGCCAGCCGGAGACAGGGACAGAGCCAAGGAGAGGTAGCTGGAGCCCAGTGACAGCTAACCATCACACCCCACGCGACGGCAGACATGTTCAGTAGTTCGTAGCCATTCACGGTGTCGTGCACCCCTCACTGTTAATCCCAGGACGTTTCCGTCACCCTGGGAAGAAACCCCGTTCCCACTGAGCAGTCACTCCTTGTTACCGCTCCCTCCAACCCCTGGCACCCACCGGTCTACGACACCTTGTCTCTGGATCTGCCTGTATCTGGCTGTTTCAGATACGTGATGAAGTCAGACATGATGTGGTCTTTGTTCCTTTCACTTAGCTTAACGTTTTTAAAGTTCATCCATGTAGTAGCGTGTGTCCCTACCTTCCCTTTTTTGGCTGAATAATATTCCATTTTATAGACAGACCACATTGTGTTTAACCATTTAGCAGTTGATGGACATTTGGGTTGTTTTCACTTTTTGGCTACTATGAATCCAATTTTTTTTTTTTTAAAGATTTTATTTATTTATTTATTTGACCGAGGGAGACACAGCGAGAGAGGGAACACAAGCAGGGGGAGTGGGAGAGGGAGAAGCAGGCTTCCCACGGAGCAGGGAGCCCAATGCGGGGCTCGACTCCAGGACCCTGGGATCATGACCCGAGCCGAAGGCAGACGCTTAACGACTGAGCCACCCAGGCACCCCTCCAATTTTTTTTTTTTTTAAGACTTTATTTGAAAGTGAGAGAGGGAACACATGCAGGGGGAGTGGGAGAGGGAGAAGCAGGCTCCCCGCCGAGCAGGGAGCCCGATGCGGGGCTGGATCCCAGGACCCTGCGATCATGACTGAGCTGAAGGGGGACGCTTAACTACTGAGCCACCCAGCTGCCCCTGAATCCAGTTTTTTAAAGAGAAGATTGAAACCTAAATTTCTGAAATCTATTTTTAAATGTTGACAGTGAATTTTAAAAAATTGGGAACATGGTTGGGGCTGATGGAATCTACAGGTCGCCAGCGTGGCACGTGGCTCGTGGCCCGCTAGTTTGCCATCTCTTACCTCTTGCCCAACCCAGGGCCCTCTCCTTGGTTCTGACACACTTGGCATTTTATCCAGCGACTTGGGGAGAAAACGGGACACCAAAGCCCAGAGAGGCTGCCCATTCCTCTGGGGCCACACAGCAAGTTAGGGGCAGGTTCAGTGCTTATGGTGCCTAATCCTGGAATCGTCATGCCATCTTGGACTGCTGCAGAAACCCTCTGTGGCCGTGCATGTCCTGGAAAAGTCACCTCAGAGTCTAGCATTGAGAGGTAACCAGTGCCAACATGTTAGCTTCTTTGCTTCCTGTATTTTCTGGGCACTTGTTTGTACACAGTTGAGGTCATACTGTGTATACAGTTTTGTAAGTAGATAGAGGTGTTTCCGTTTGCACTACGTGATGATGAGCATTAGGGGCCCCAGTGGGATGGTGCTGGCCTGGAGCACTGTCACCCAGCCGCCCGTGGCCGTCCCCGGAGGTGGTGGCACAGGTCTAGCGCTCCGGCTCTCTGCAGCTCTGCAGGAGATGGCCTCGCAGCAGCTCCTGGGTGCGCGGGAGCCTGGTCACAGCGCCTTCCCTTCCGTCTTCGGAGCCCGCCCTGGAGCAAGACTTCCCGACTAGTCTCTAGGAAAACCTGCTCGGGTGTGTTTTCTGGGCCACCCCATTGCCCGCAAACACACGTTCATCGGTCTGAAAGATGAGAGTCTCCGCCCAAGCCCTGGTAGCTGCGCCCTCTGGATGAAAGGAACACTGTTTTGAAGACCGCCGTTTGTAGCCAGCCCTGCCATTTCCAGTTCTTTCCAAGCGGCACTGGGGGCCTTGGGAGGAAGTGCCGAGGGCTGAGAGGGGGGCAGTCGAGCCCCCCAGGTCAGCGGGGCACTTCCTCCTCTGTTCCAGAAGCACAAAGCGGCCACCTGGTAAGAGAGGGGCCCACAGCCTGGGGGTTCAGAAGGCCTTGGCTGGTGCGCGCCCGCTCGCTGCCCGGGCCGGGACAGGGGCCGGCTTCCGCCCCGGTGGCAGCAGGTGGTGCTGCTGGTTTTTTGGTGACCCCCACCACTCAGTTCTCTGACCCCACCATGTGACGGCCCCCCTGTGCACATGAATATTCATATGTGAGGCTTCGGGGGAGCCAGGCTGGCGGGTGAGGGGCTCCAGGACACGTGCTCCCTATGAATGGGCCCACAGAGGAGGAGGCCGGAAGCTGCTTGATCTTTCTGCCCTGGGTTCCATCCTCCTTTGCTCTCATTCACTCCCGCTTTCAACAAGCATTTATTTATTGGGCCTGTGGCATGGCCCGGGCCCTGTGGAGGCCGTGGAGGACAGAGCACAGAGGGGCCTTGCAGCAAAGCTACTGTCCATTCATGGGGGAGGAAAGTGGAGCGCCGGGCCCTGCGGCCTGGCTGTCAGCAGGCGTTCACTGCGGGGGGGTCTGCCAGGTCTGCCCCCACTGCAGCCCGCTTTCCCGCAGGCCAGCTTAGGTGGGTGGTCAGCACCCGTGGGAAAGCCCACGTTACCTGTCTCCCCCAGGTAGGTTTGAGGAGAGCGGGGTGCCATGGCGTGTAGCCTCCCCTGACTTGTGGCCCCCCGTGGAGCAAAAAGTCAGCACGGTGGCCTGAACGCGCGTAGGTCCCCAGCCACCACTCGACGCTCACCGAGGCCGAGCTGCTTATCCACAGCCGTCTGGAAGACTGGCCAGGGTTTGAACCAGGGGCATCTTTCATCCTACATCCAGAGCCCTCTGAGCTGGGACCGTGCTTTGTCCGTAAGCGTGGCGCCACACGGGCGGGGGTGCTTTCTGGGCCCTTTCAGGCTTTAGGGTTCTTGGCCGGGCTGTGGGTTTTGTTGTTCCGGCGTATTCCAGAAGGGAGGCGGGGCCTGTGGGAAGTAACGGGAAGGGTCAGAAGAGGCTCCCGGACAATGTTGGGGCATGGTCGCGCAGCAGCCGGGTGCTCTGGGTCGAAGCCCGGGATGATGGTGGCTCGGCATGGCGCCAGCCCCAGACACAGCAGGACAATGACCACGCACGCCGTATATACGGCCTGGTGTTCGTGCAGGAAGAGCGCTTCCCGAACGATGGCAGGACTTTGTTTTGACTCTTACTCTTCCATGTGTATCAGTTTGGGGGAAACCTAGTGTGTTTAGACCCTCGTCGTCTGAGAGAGGGTCTGGATGCGGGAGCAAGCCCTGCTTTTGTTTTTTTTGTTTTTTTTTTTTAAGATTTTATTTATTTTTTAGAGAGCGAGCGAGAGAGAAACAGCATGAGAGGGGAGAGGGTCAGAGGGAGAAGCAGGCTCCCTGCTGAGCCGGGAGCCCGATGTGGGACTCGATCCCAGGACCCTGGGATCATGACCTGAGCCGAAGGCAGACGCCTAACCATCTGAGCCACCCAGGCGCCCAAGCCCTGCTTTTGCACACGGCACGGCAGGTGTGCGGTGCTGAGGGGCTGGCTGGGTTCCCGCGCCCGCCTGATCCTTACTTTTTACCTTGTGTCCTGTGGGCCACCTACAAACTCCTGTGTGCTCTTGAACACGTGGTTCAGATGTCGTGCTTGGGAAGACACAGTCCCGCTGTCCACGGGACTGTCTCACCCGATCCCGTGGTCACCGGCTGCCCGGGACCCCCATGCTGATTGCAGTAGATACTTTTTTTTTTTTTTAAGATTTTATTTATTTGACAGAGAGAAACACAGCCGGAGAGGGAACACAAGCAGGGGGAGTGGCAGAGGGAGAAGCAGGCTTCCCGCCGAACAGGGAGCCCGATGCGGGGCTCGATCCCAGGACCCCGGGATCATGACCTGAGCTGCCCAGGTGCCCCTTATTTTATTTTATTTTATTTTATTTTATTTTATT